TTCCTGCTGGACACAGTTTGTACATCATCTGCTGGGCTTGGGTAAGACTCTCAGGCAAGGAATGGCAGCAGGTTGTGTCCTGCTCTTGACCCTGCTGGTTTGCAAGGTTCTTGGAGAAGGGGAAAGAGATAAAAGAAACGTTTGGTTCTGGGAGACACAGATATTTTTATCCTTGTTGATTTTTTCTGTGGGATTTTGTGGGGGGGGTTTTGTTGGTTTGTTTCGGTTTGTTCTGTTATATCTTTTCCCAGGCCTGATGGGCAGCCAGGAACTGAAACAAAAATGAGGAACAGGGGCTTTTTTCATTTGGCCTTTCATTCTGGATATAATTTGTCAGTGTGCTGATGGCATCCTTGCTCAGAAAAGGCATTTTAAATATGTTCAAGTCCTACTAAGCCCAGTGGTGGGGCTGATATGCTCAAACAGCAGTGTAAATGTTTCTTGCAGTCAGGACCTGACTTTTGCTCTCAAACCTGGCCATGGACACCTCTGTGTTCACTCTTTTATGGGTTTTGTTCAGGCAAGCTTGAAAACTTGGCCTGGAGCAGGTGATCAGGTTGTGTTATGCTTTCCTCTGATATCTGTATGTCAGGTGGTCCTTTCAGAATTGCTGAGGTGCTGCTAACACTGGCTACTGAAGTAAGTTACCCTTCAGCAGTAGGTAATTTAGTAGAGGGGCTAGATTTCATTTGGGTTTATCCTGGAACAGCTCAAATTGTGTCCTATCAAACCTGGCTCTCTCTGTGGCTCCCTGGAGAGGGGAGCTGCTGCCTGTTCTAATGTGAGTGCCCATAGTAGCTGGCTGTGGCAAAGTGACACTGATCTGTTCTGGTCAGTGCACTGTCCTCAGCCTCAAAACGATAATATTAACATTAAGCAGAGAATGTATGTAAAATAAAACTGCTTTTTGTTGTTACTTGCAGCAAGGGCAGCCCTGCTGACAGGCCGACTCCCAGTGAGGAATGGTTTTTACACCACGAATGCACATGCCAGGAATGGTACGGGCTTCCTTCCTGATTTCCCCTCCTCCCTTGATTCCTTTCTGTGCCTTGTAGGAAGTTTTGCTTTGGACAGAAGCCTGGCTCGGGGATGTCCCAGAGTGGCAGACAAAGATTACCATGTTAACTGCTGGTAATAAGGCTGAAATTTATTGCTTCCCCCTCATCAAGCAGAAAAGCCTCCTCAAATTAAGAGACAGAAACCAGGCTGGTTGATCCATTTGCTTCTGCTGGCTGAGAAGTGTTTCCTCTGGGCAGTCTAATTGGTGTCTGGTGAAAGAAAGTCACATGGGGCCTCTCTTAACACCCAGAGCAAGGAACAAGCTACTTCCAGTTTTATTCAGCAGCCAGTTTGGTAACCATTTCAGCCTTGGCAGTTTTATAGCAGGTGCCCAGAGTCCTTGCAGGGAAAGTTACCAGCTCATAGCATTTCTGGGCTGCTTTTGGTTCTGGTGTGATGGACACCAGTGGGCTTGGGCCAGGAGCAGCAGCTCTATCCTGGGGCATGCTGTGTCAGTGGGCAAGCTTGGCTGGCTGCACCCTCACCAGAGACACTTCTGCTTCTCTAGAGCCAGAGAGCTGTGGACTGAGGGAGACACAGCATTCCTTTCAGCTCTTGCAGCCTGAGTGAGTTAATCCATATTTGATTTAGGACAAATCTCTCTTTGATCTCTCTGAATCCGTTTGTCCTTTTCATCTCATGGCCTCCAAAGAGTGATACTGCTGGGCATTCACACTAACTTCTATTTCTGATCCAGCAATAATGCTTCTAATTCTAAGTAGCCATGAGTCATTTGCTCTAGTGTTTGTGAGAGTTGGGAAGACTTTGAGTTTGTTTTCCACAGCATTCACACCCCAGGACATCGTAGGAGGAATCCCAGATTCTGAACTGCTGCTCCCAGAGTTGCTGAAGAAAGCTGGCTATGTCAACAAGATCATTGGCAAATGGTAAACTTCTTTTAAGCCCCCTTGCTGTGAGATTTCAGTAGGTGTGTGTATGTCTTGCAAAGGAGGAGCTCAACCACCAGGACTACAGGAAAATCCTGTTTGGAAGCTCAGCTGCTCAACCTTTGGAATCTGTGGTGGATCTGTCCCCCTGCTGAGAGTCATTCCTGGACTGAGTGGTATCGTTAGGAGTACACACATGCACCTTCCTACAAAGAGTTGGAGGGGGGTTTGTGTGTGTGTGTGTATATTTATAAACCCTTCAACTCTTTGTGCTTTCATCCATGTATCATGCTGCTTAATCAAAACCCACCAAGATGTTCTGTTGGAATTTGTCTTCAGCACCCACAGGCCTTCTGTCTTTGGCCTCTGCTAGATGTCAGGTTATTTGTTAACAGAGGAGACTAAATTGTGAAAGCTTCCTTTTAGGGGAGATAGAAGTATAGAAATAGAGATGCAGACATCTCCAGGGCTGCACTGAAGATTGTTTATCAAGTGTAGAAGATCAGGATGGTTGATACCAGGTGTTTCAAAAGATGTAGAGGGCAGATCCAATACTCAGTGAATATTGTCTTTTGACCTGGTGGACTTTCATGGAAGAGGATACAGAAGATCTTCTGAAAAAAACCCCAGTGTGTTCTGATGTCTGCAAAGAGTCAGGAGGGAAAAGCCCAAGAGGTGTTTCAGATCCAGCCAGCAGGGTGGGATTACCAGTGTCATCCTTGGGAATGGTGCAATTGTAACATTTGAATTTCAGATGTGCTTGTGGGCTGTAGTGAAATCCCATGGGGCCTGAGGATGTCTGAACAGTTGGTTCCCAGTTTGGAACAGAGCTGTAAGAAATAAATGAATAAATAGCAACTTGAAAACTATGTAGACACCAGAGGAGTCCTGCTTGATTAACAGAGTTAATCACAGAATCACCAAGGCTGGAAAAGACCTTTAAGATCATCAGATGAAGAGACATGGGACAGGAGCAGTGTTGGGGGATGCTGTTTAGGACAGCAATGGGATACAATTTACTCAACAGTTTCTTTAACAAGTTAGAAAAGAGTGAGTTTAAATTGTGGTTGGATTCAGTGTTGCTGCTGAAATTGGAAAGCAAGCAAACTAACCCAAGACAGTGAATTATTTATTAGCACAAATCCAGACAGGATAGTAGCCATGAAGAATCGGATCAGTGGACTGAACGCAGCAGGATGCAGCTCAGTGCTAATACATGTAAATTCATACACCCTGGGAAAAGAAGGAACTCAAATACAGATTGGTTCCAGGCAGTTGTTTGGAAAACAGCAAGTGTGGAAGGACCTGCAGGTGTTAGCAAGAAGCAGACCAGGTCTGAACATGCAGTGCACCATTGTTGTGCACCCAGAACTGTCATCCCAGGCAGGACTGGGGGGTGATACTGCACAGCAGCTGCTTCTGCCATTTGTGCTCCCCAGCTGCTTCCTAGAAAAGTGTCAAGAAATGCAAAGTACAGCAGGTAAATTGGAGTCTCATCCTAGCCTGGAATTTTAGGGTTTTAAATCACCAAGCAGAAGATTTTTCTATCCTTTCTATCCTTTCAGCATCCCTTTTAAAACCTTTTCAGGCTGTCCTGTGACACGGAGTTTCACAGTTTAATTCTATCTTTGCAAGTCAAGTGTTTTCCAGAACAGGTTTAGAATTTGTTGCATTTCATTAAACATCTTTCTGGTTTTTATGTCGCGAGAGAATAACCAGCATCTCAGTCATTGTTTGATACCTTTTTCAGTCTCTTCCTCTGTAAGTTCCCTTAAGGCTTTCTTAGAATATAGTATATTTTCATGTGGTAGAAACAGCCAGGAGTAGCTTGCTAGTATCCTGTACATAAATGAGGAAGGGGGGATCCTTGCAGTTTTAGTTACATCACCAAGATATGAATATGGCCAGAATTATGATTATTTTCTACTAAAACTCATTTTGGAATAGCTCAGAATAACACCATGAGTCATTTTAGTTCAGGTAATGCATTTGATGCCTCTTATGTTCACAAACTGTGCAGAAGTGATGGCACAAAATGGACAGGCTGCAGATGCAGGGTGGTGAGTGGAAGCTGGAATGATTCAATAAACATTAAACTACAAAGATCTCCCTTCAAGGTGGGAGAGGATGGGCATTCTGGACCTTCAGGATAGTAGAAATGAAGGGAATGGGGAGTTTGCAGTATGGAAGTGGGAGATTGGAGAGGAGCTTCACCTTGAAGGTAAGGATGGAGAATTTTCAAGCTGCATTGTAGAATGGAGTTGTCATCAGGAGCAGCTTAAGGTGTTTTATGTTCACATGTGAATGTAAAGGTCTCCCTTTCAGTTACATTCAAGTTTCTCTGTACCATCTTGGCAGGATGAATCCTCCATAAAGGCAGTGCAGGTGGCATGGTACATTTCATGAGCCTTACAGTTTTTACAGCTTAGTGGTATCAAAGGGACTTGTCATAGATCAGAATCCTTAAGTAAAACATGATGTGTGTCCTTGCAATGGCTTTGGGCAGGATGCTCCATCAGTACAGATCATTGGGACAGTGTGGGAGAAGACACCCCATAGATGGAAACAATGGAAAACAAAGATTGGACAATTGACTAGAGTGGAATCTGTGTTAGCACTGAAGTGAGTCTACATGGAGGAGTCTGCAAGAAGGATGAGAAAGGTCAAGCTAATGCTCTGCAGTCATTTGTTTGATTAAAATGCTTGAAGGTTTTTCTTCTGAGGCAAAGATTGTTTTCTTGCATACCGTTCTGATTACATGATTATTTGCTTCTTTGCAGCAGAATTTTAACTCATCTGTTTCTTCTGTTTCTAGGCATCTGGGTCACAGGCCCCAGTTCCACCCCCTGAGACATGGGTTTGACGAGTGGTTCGGATCCCCAAACTGCCATTTTGGACCTTTTGATAACAGAGCCCTCCCCAATATCCCTGTGTACAGGGACTGGGAGATGATTGGCAGGTAATTCAGCTTCTTGCCTGGTTATGTTCTTTGTTTCCCTGCTGACATTGCAGTGCTGGAAGGTAAGTGCCAATGTGGCAAACCTATTTCAAAGAACAGGGGTTAGTGAAGACAGCAACTGCTTCAGAACCAGTTACAGGCTTGGTTGGGTGGAAAGGTGCTTGTAAATGGTCACAAACACATGAACAGCCCTTCTGGATTAGGCCCAAGGCCTAGCTAATCCCTTACACTCTGTGATGACCACTCATAGTAAATACTTATAGAAAGGATGTAAGAAAACAGTTATGTGGAATGGTCCTTCTCTTCTATGGTTGTCCTCTCACCTAAACTGAAGGTTGTGTCCAAATCTTCAAGTTTAGAGCCACTGACTTAACTTCATGAACTAGTCTCTTTTCTACACGTGTTTGTATTTCTGGTCTCTACAACACCCTGTGCCAGGATCTCTTCTGCTTTGCCCTCATATTTCTGAACAGGACTTCTCTTCTGATCTGGAGATAGCCAATATCCATCCTTGCAAGGCCTGGGTGAGGGTTTCCACTGGAGCCAAAACAGAATTAAGGGAAAGCCTTGTGGGAAAAGGCAGGCAGAAGCAGGAAGGTATAGATTAACCATCAAGAGGTATTTGAATTTCATGTCTGGGAGAGGAAGTGAGGACAGTCTTTCCTTGGGGAAGAAGAAGGTTCTGAAGGCAGTGCTGGTAGCAAAGTGACCTCCAGCACTGTTGTCTGGGCAGTGTCTGTTGCTTCTCAGTTGTGATTGTAGCTCTCTGACTTCTCCAGTTAAAGCTGAGACACTGCTGACCCACTTCTATGGTGCTGATGCCCATCAGAGTCTAGGCATGTTAGCTGGCCACTAAACTTTATTCTAAACTCCTAAACCACTTTTTGTAGGAATCTTGTCTTCTTGTCTCCACTTTACCATCTACATTTAAAGTTGAAGCTCACTAAATGTCAAGCTAGGTGTTTGATTCTGAGGATGAATGAAGGTCTGAGTACCAAGGCCAACCTGCAAGTTGTGTGTGGACCATCTAGGGGTGTGACTGGTGTACACTGCCTCCCTCCCAGAGATGTTTGCTTATCCTGTCATGCCTTGAAGGCTTCCTGTGGTGATTTCACTCCACTACTCTTGGAAGCTGGTTCCATTCTGTACTGAAAGACCTCTTTATTCCTGCTCTTCCTGTTTGTAACAACCTTTTGTCTGTTTGCCTAACACCACTCTGTGCTCCAGGTCTGCTCTCAGTGCTGTCCATTCACTTTTTATTTTGCTGGCTCCTACTTCACTTGCTGTTCCTCTCCTGAGGGCAGCCCCCCACTTTTGTTTGTTGACTTGGTGTCTAGAGATACTTCTAACCTAACATTTGCAATGCAGCCCAAGTTCTGATTCCAGGTTCGCTCTGTTACTGGAAGTTTTTGTGTACTTGTGTGAATTGTGCTCACAGATCAGGCAGTTCTCTGTTGGGGGAGCACTGGTGTAAGGTCTATAAGCATATTACCCCTCTTCTAATAGTTTCACAGGGAAAACTCCATGACTCAGGTCTGCCCAAAACTTGCAGTCATCATTAGTGTGGATCCAGCTGTCTTGCTGCTTTCTCCCTAAGAAAAAGTATAGTGACATTCTTTTTAATCATGGAATCATGGAATGGTTTGAGTTGGAAGGGACCTTGAAGATCATCCAGTTCCAACCTCCTGCACAGGCAGGGACACCTCCCACCAGACCAGGTTGCTCAGAGCCCCATCCAACCTGGCCAATACCTGAAGAGAGGTTGCAGAGTAGAATCTGTGACCTGTTTGTCACCTACTTACACAGTAAGGAGAGGGAGGGGGGGAAAAAGCCTTTTTATGTTGCATCTTCCTTAGGATTGATTTATTTTGTTTCCCTCTCTGATTAATTTTATCTGAAGATACTACGAAGATTTCAAAATAGATCTGAAGACAGGTGAAGCCAACTTGACTCAGATCTACCTGCAGGTACTGTCTATTTTCATACTGGTTTCTAAGCAGCAGTGATTTTATGCTGCTTATTTTGGAGAGGTTTAGATGGCAGAGGATGATTCCATTCAATTAATTTTTATTGTTGTTTACAGGAAGCTCTCGATTTTATTAGCAGGCAGCAGGCCAGCCAGCAGCCCTTCTTTTTATACTGGGCAATTGATGCTACCCACGCTCCTGTTTATGCCTCCAAACATTTCCTGGGCACTAGTCAGAGAGGACTGTAAGTCTGGGCTTTGTGGGTGTTGGTTTTTGTGGGGAGTTCTTTAATTAATACCTCATGCTGCAGAAGCAGAAAAGCTAATATTGATTGGATCCAAGCGTATAGATCATTTCTCAAACGTGGATGTGTGTGCTGAAATACATGAGTGAGCAGAGAACTTTGTTTGGATTGTTCTGTAATAATTTTGCTCTAATCTGAAATTAAGATGATGTGACTAAAGTGGGGGAGAAGGGGGAGTCTAAGCTCCTTTGCCAGTTGTGTGAGTAATGAAATGCTGTATGTGGCACAGATGATTTTTTGGAAGGCTTTTTGTATGATTAGTGCCTGCCTTAAAAGCCTATAAATCAGGCCAGCAAGTAGAAAAGTGTGCATGAAAAATGCAATTTCCAGGAGGCAGAGAGCTCTGTGGATGTGGTGAGGCTTCTTCTGAGAGTGCAGATGCCAACCAGCATCCGTAAGGAAATGGATGGTTTAAAAAAAAAAAAGCTGTTATGAGCTTCAAGTCTGTGGCAAAGTGACTTTGCCTGTGTTTGAGAACTTTATAGCTAAATTTATCTCAGTGGCTGGTCTCTGCCCAGTTCACATCTGAACAAATTCTGACTCTGGATACCCCAGAGAGGTTGGTCTCTGCAGGCAAGAGGCATTGGCCTGACAGTGGAGAACTTCATCACAGCACCTGCTGCAGAAGAGCAGGAATCATGGGGTTGTCAGAGTTGGAAGGGACCTCCAGAGATCATCTTGTCCAACTCCCCTGCTAAAGCAGGATCCCCTGGAGCACATTCCTCAGGGCTGCATCCAGGGGGGGTCTGGAATATCTCCAGAGAAGGGGACTTCACAACCCCCTGGGCAGCCTGTCCCAGAGCTCTGTCACCCTCATAGTAAATAAGTTTTTCCTCATATTTCAGTGGAACTTCCCATGTCCCAGCTTGTGCCCATTGCCCCTTGTCCTGTTCCTGGGCACCACTGAGCAGAGCCTGGCTCCATCCTCCCTGCACCCACCCTGAGATACTTGTAGGCATTGATCAGGTCTCCCTTCAGCCTTCTCTCCTCCAGGCTGAACAGCTCTCTCAGCCTTTCCTCATCAGAGAGATGCTCCAATCCCCCACTCATCTTTGTTGCCCTCCCCTCTCTCCAGCAGTTCCCTGTCTCTCTTGACCTGGGGAGCCCAGAACTGGGCCCAGTTCTCCAGATTTGGCCTCACCAGGGCAGAGCAGAGGGGCAGGATGACCTTCCTCGGCCTACTGGCCACATTCTTCCTTATGTATCCTTGGGAAGGAATTCTGTAGCTTAGGTGGAAATGGCACCCAGAGGCAGCTTGGTGGCTGCTGGCAGTGTGTTCCAGCCTGGGACACTTTGCCTCCTTTGCTGCCCCTCAATGTTGTGCATTTCCTTTGGCCTCAGCTACGGAGATGCTGTGCGGGAAATCGATGACAGCGTTGGAAAAATCCTAAGCCACCTGCAGCAGCTGGGGATCAGTGAGAACACTTTTGTGTTTTTCACCTCTGATAATGGGGCTGCTCTCATTTCTGCTCCTCAACAAGGTGAGTCTCAGATAAATAGACCTGGGCTGAGGTGGTGAAGTCAAGGCTTGAATCTCCACATCCAGGGTGGCGGGAGGAGACCTGTACGTGGGGTTTTCCCTTACGTAGTTAGGAGAAGCCTTGAAATTCAGAGTATTTATGTTTTGAGTTATGTTCATTACTTCTGGTCACTGCTGAAGGAGGTATCCTTGACTAAGTGGACTTTTGGCCTAACCCAGGATGGCTGTTCACCTGTGGGCATCTCCATTTTGTGCTCCACTCTCAGGACGTGAATATTTTCTCATTTATTTAGGACCAGGCACAATAACTCAGCTGGGTGTTTACTCTCCATCTGTCAAATGCATATTTGAGCTTTCTGAGTAATTACAGAGAGTTCAAGAGGCCCATCTGCTTTAGCTCTCATGAAAAATAGCAAGAAGAAAAAGTATTTTTGTTACTTCACAAGTTTTCTTTTGTTTAAATTGTTTCTCTCGGGGTCATTGTAAATTGATTTTTAGAACCCAGTCTCTTCTCTTTGGAGGCAAACTGTCTCGTGGTTGCTGGACCACAGAGCAGGGAGTATCCTGAGTTCTGGTTTCAGCTGAACCACTGTGTTTGACTTTGTGTGCCCTTGAATCAGTCACAGGACCTCCCTGTTGGTTCCTCAGCAAGCTTAGCTACAAGGCTGAGTTAAAAACCCAGACATTCCTACAAAGCACTTGCTATCTCTGAGAGTGAACATTCAGGGAATGCATGATTATTCATCTCATTTTCTTATCTGCATCTAATACTGCTCTAGTACTTGAAAGGGATTATGAAAAAGTACAATTTCTACCTGAAAGTGATAATTTATTTTAGTTATGAACAGCAGTTAACATCCTTAAAGGGTAGGAAAATGCTAGCAAAGTATTTTCTGTTACTTTGGGTATTTTTTTCTTTGGTTGATGGCAAGTTGTGTTTAACTGTCACACTCTCCCTGACCTGAAAAGACACCCCTAAAATTTCATTGTGAAGGGATGTTTAAAAAGGAAAAACAACCAACAAAACCAACCAAACAAAAAATACAACCCAGAACAACTCTGGACATGCTATTTGAAGAAGCATTCATGCAAAAATGAAAATTCATTTAAAGCTAGCCTAAAAATTCCCTAGTTGACAGTCATGTCCCTTTGAAATACAGTCTTGGCATCTCCTGGATTTTGTGGCTTCTGTTCTTTCTCCAGGAGGAAGCAATGGTCGTTTTCTGTGTGGCAAACAAACCACTTTTGAAGGTGGGATGAGAGAACCAGCTATTGCTTGGTGGCCTGGACACATCCCTGCAGGACAGGTAAGTATCCACTTTACCAATTCTGATTAGTCTGAAATGAATGGAGTGGTTCTTGCTGGATCCACTGGGCTCTGGATCAGGCTTGGAACACACCCAGGGTGTCAGTCCAGATGCTTGTCTAAACCAGGAGCTGAGGCTGCTCCTGGAGAGCCACACCACCCCTGCTCATTATTGCCAATTTGCATTTAGAGTGTCTGACCAGCACTTGTGTGAGCCCCAAGCAGCCTGAGCTTTTTGTCTTATGCTCTATTTAAACCTTTTAATCTTTTGAACTGCAGTGTTTTGAGTGAGTTACATGTGTTCACACACAGAAGGACACTTTGCTGCTGACCTGTGTCGCAGTCTGGAGCAGGAGGGTGCTGCCCACACACGCTTACTGTGCCCTGGAGAATCAAGTGATTTGACCCTCTCAGCTCTCACTTTTAGTCTTTGATAAAAGTTCCACTCAGGGAGGTCTAGATACCAGTCTATTGCTCTTTTCTGTCTGTACACACATTCAGATAAGATCACTTCAAAATAATCCTCCAGTGGCACTACCAGCCTCTCCCCTCCCAGCTCTCATTAAAGAAAGATGCAATCAATTCTTCTGCAGGCAGGGTTCACAGCAAAGAACACAGATTCCCTCCCCTTTGTGAGCATCTCTCATCCCTGAAGAAAGTGATACTTCATTAACTGGGTGCTGTGCTTAAGACTGCAAACTATTCATAAATAAAACATTTTTCTAACGTGCATTCCTTTCTGGTGGCCCAGATGAGTCAGGATAAGCATAATTTATCCTTCTACATTTAGGAGGAAGCCAACAGATAGCTTAGCTCCACAGCTGAGGGCAGAAGGGTAGTTTGGTTTCATCATTTTTAAAGAGTTCACAAAACCTGCTAGGGGTGGTTTATTGGTTGGTTTGCTTTTTTTTTTAATTTGAAAACAGTCTCTTTGTTTAAATTTAAACATTTCCATAAAGCCTTCACAGGCCAAGTACAACAGCCCTAGGCCAGCATACGAGAACATGAAACTGAAGCTGACTGTTTTGTTTTCCATGTCCAAACTGAATAATGTGCTAAAAGTAAACATGCATTATAAATGGGGACAAGTAAATACCAAATTTAGGAATTCTTTCCATGGTAGTAACTCTGAGGGTAATTAAGAACATGAGTGGAGAAATCATTGTGCTGGTTTTTGACCCGTAACTGGCTGGCACTCCCCAGCAGCTAGTCTTCTGGCTGTAGGGCAGCAGTGGGGCAGTGTGTGGTGCACAAGGTTCTCAGCAGCCTGGGGTGGTGCATGGCTTTCTGCTGGAGGCCAGAGCTGAAGCTTCTGGTTGAATTCCTGGGAACAGCCATTTCTGTGCAGTTCAGGTGTTTCCACAGGTGGGTGGGCTGACCCAGGCCATGCTGTCCTGAGCCTGTGCACACCCAGCCAAGCTGCAGAGTCTGCTTAAGGCTTAGTGGGGCAGGTATGTGCCTGAAAATCCCCTCCTCCACCACTGCTGAGATCATACTGGGCACTTAAGCACTTGCTTAATTTTAAACCCTCCCTACGCTGGGCTCCCCTTGGGATGCTGCCTGCCCCTGCAGGCGTTGCACTCCCAGATGTCCCTTTGGACTCCAGTACCTTGAGCAGTCTCCTCTGAGCTCTGTCCCCAGGCTGTGCTGCTTTGCTCTGAGTTAAACCCCTGTGTGATGCTACAGAGAAGTAAATCCGTGCTAGCTACTTATGTGTCTTTTCTGCTTGTATTCTTGCCATCGAGGCTCCAGCACTGGTACCCCCAGCAGCACTAACAGCAGGTGAGAGGTTTGCCATTGCTTCTGCTCACACTGCCCTGGCCTGCAGGGCACCTCTAGTTATTGCTTCATAATTGCCTCTTTCCC